GCTCACAGATTCATTCAAAGATTGTTGCTGTTTTACCTCATTTCTAATTTTCGTTATGAGCTGCTCATAGAATCTTTTTTTCAGTTTTCTTCATTCATCAGAAATTTTTATATGTCCTCAGCTTATTAATAGTCCTCTGTTACCGATTCCTCTACTTTTTTGATAGATTTATCAGTCCTTTCATTTTAGAAGTGAAGTATACTCTGTGATAGAGTTGCTGTTTTATGAGTGAAACAATTAAGCACAGATGCATTATTTCAAAATCAAAGCAATAAATGTGTGATGACAATTTAGACGACAAGCTTCGTGATTTTAAAAATAAAACTATCAAAATTCAGTATGAGTCAGAACAATCGATGTTTCTTTTAATGCTGTTTATGCCTACATTGAAATAAGAAATCGTACCTCAAAATGTACTAATCGTTTTCACTGCTCAAAACGAAATTTCATATGAATCAATTATGTCATTTTATCCGTCAAACTATTTTTTGAATTAGAAAAGAAGAGATAAAAATATCCTTCTAAATGCTCTGATTCAGTGGAAATTCTTAATGAGTTGGAACTGTACTGAATCCAAACAACGATAAAATGTAACTAGATTAAATTTAAGATTAAAAATTTGGGTGATACTGTGCGGACGAAAATTCATTTCTGCAGCGTGCATCCATAATTACACTTATTGAGACTGAAATGTCACTTCATCTTTCCGCATTTTCCGGAATAGTAGCATTTCAGAAGTAGACACTTTGCAACTTTTTTTTCTTGGTTTGACTTCCGAGATTTTAAGATTTGAATTCATCAAAGATTACTCATATTTGTATGTTAAAAAACACGCAAGTAAAAGCTGCGACAAGAATAAGAGCAGATCGACTGCACATACTGGTATACAATTAGAGGCGACACCAAGTACTCCTGATAGAGGTTGGCATCAGTGGTTGATAGCAGTCGAGACCGAGAAGAAGCGAAACGATTTACTAGCTAATAAACTCGGAGCAGAGATGAAATGCAAAACGAAAATTATTTCGTATGTGATGAAATGGGATGGAATAGTGACGAACTTCCATAACTGCAAAGGAAATTACTGCCTCTGATCACGTCGAGGCATATATCTAATCGATAGTACTCAAGAAGACGCTTGAAAGCATCTATTCGATCAGCACTATGGATCCGATGAGGGAGAAGCAGCGGAGATCAGCACAGCAGAACTGAGCGTGGGGCGAGTGCAGCGAGAATATCAGAATACGATGCAGCGCTAGAAAAGTAGTGAAGAAAAGAAGAATGACCTCCATTTATCTTAAATAATTTTGCTTGCTGAAAATAAAAAATTCAATAATTAATGTACGCTAGAGAGATTGTTAACTTTATGATAAGTACATATGCTTTTTCGGTTTTTTTTTGCTTTAAAAGACGTATTGAGTGAATGACAATTCATAGAAACATTTCCTGAATCTCACTGTAACAGATCTCCTGAATCTCACCGTAACAGATCTCTTGAATCTCACTTTTTGACTATTATTGATAGCAATTTTAGAAAATTATGTTAGTAATTTGCGCAGCTATAGCATTAGTTTTTCACCGCGAAATTTTTTTGTTCGATTTAATTATCATTAATAAATGGAAAATTCAGATAAATGTCTTTTGTTTGCTTATTAATGTTACACAATAAATGAGAAAAAAAAACCCATTTTTATTGAAAAAATAAAAAATAGAATTTTTATTATAGAAAGAGCAATTTTTATTTGAAAGTTAAAATTTTTTCATATTTTGCATTATGCAAATTTTGTTGACAAATGCAGAAATTTGATTAATATAATTAATTAATATCGAAGTATAATTTGTGTAACTAAATAATTAAAGTGAATGCAATCTTTGTCTTTTCTAACGGCTTTCAAGATCAAATTCAACATTATCAATGAGAGCAATAGAGTTGAACTGTTTTTATAGATACAGAATTTTTACGTTTAAAAACTTTTAAATGTAATTTCTGATATATGATAAATTTAGTGATGAAGAATTTTTGATTTTTTCCATTTCAAATATTATATGATTATTAATAAGCCTGACAAAATGATAGAAAATTATGCAAATGCTTTTAGAAAATATTTTTAATATGCTGTGATTACCCCTCTAAATCTCTTCCATAGCAACGTGACTCATTTAATAGTCTTTGGGCAAGTTTATTTGATACCAAACCCTATCAAATCCTTTTCAATTACTAAACGAAAACTTTTACTTTTTGCTAAGCTTTTTAAACAGAAAGTATACTTATCTCATTTAATTCACTTTCATTTTATTTAGATTACTTGTAATCATTACTGCGTCTAATCAAAACAAAAATTAAGAGCACTTTTTTAGCACCAAATTGATTTGGCTGAAAAATTGCCACTAAAAGGATTTAAAAAATAAAAGAGTGAAGAAATTGCGATTTTAAATATTTGAAAAAATAAATGATATTCATTTTAGTGCAAAAATACGCTGAATAAGATGTTTTGATAACTGATTTGCTTAATTGTGTTTAAATTTCGGTAGTAGCCCCAACTTGGACCTAAAATACTATGATTTATTGCTCTTTTTTCTCATTTAAAAGCTATATTCTGTTGATTTCTTTCAACGGAAAGTGTACTTCACAATTATCTTATATTACCTTCTTGAAGCAAAAATCTCGCAGTTTGGAAAAATAATATTTTATTTTATAGTTCGTAAAAACCCTCATTTTTGAAGAAATTATGCATCATTTTGTAGAGCTTTACAAATTGAAAACGTATGTTCAGCCAGCAATTGTTGATACGAATTGAAAAATTGAAGTGCATAAATGTAAATATTAAGTAGATTTTTCAGATATCTAGTATTTTTATTACTAACTTCTTTTTCTAAGGCTTTTTCCTAACAGTTTCCTTATACTTCATTGATATTACATTCGTGTTAAGCTGCTTGGTTCAGACGCTTTGACAAATAAAAAAAAAGATTTGATTTTGTCTAACTAAATCATCAAGAATTAATCGCGGTGATCATGAAAATGTCTTGGTTACGATCCAGATTTTGGTAGTAGTTCTTCGAAATGTCATCTACTATTCGCACGCTTGAGGGGTCAAACGTTACTGTAACATCTCGAAGAACATCTAAAATTCTGAATTTATCTCCTGTAAGTTTATTTATTTCTTGTTCAGAAAATGTTTAATACGTTGCAATGTGAATATTTAAAAATAATTTACTAATTACCATTTGTTACAATTTTATCACCTTTGAAAAATAAAGAATTTGTTCTTAGTATATTACGTTATTCTTATATTTAGGACGGAACCTCATCACGTGATAGCGAAGAACGTGTCACTCTACATTATGCTGCCCAAACGGCTGATGCTGAAAGATTCAAACATATCTTGGAACTTGATAATTCTTTAATTGATTGTCAAGATCGAAACGGGTTCCTTTTTGTTTCATTTCTACACATAACACGTTAATTGCTTTTTTTTCACACGAAAATTGGTCAGAACACTGACGAATCCACTTTGTTTTAATTATTGCACTATTTCAAGCTACATCACTTATGAAGCTTTGAACGCTTTGGTTATATTATTTGACAATATGCAAATTTTATCAGTCTGGCATATTTGTGATTTAAAAAAAAATTAATATATGTGTGCAGTTATAGCTATACGCCACTTCTGATAGCAACAATGACTGGAAATACATCTGTCATGAAGCAGCTGATAGAAAATGGTGCACAAATTAACCATCTGGATAAAGATAAGCATTCTGCTGTGCATTGGGCCGTTGTTTGTGGCCAGGTCTATCATATTTATTTGAACAATTATTTTAACAAAATAACTGAAAGTAATTTTATTCACATAACGGATATACAGTTCGTATTGTCATTAAGTGAGCATACAATTTAACTAGGAAATTTAGAATTTTTGAAAACTAATTCTAAAAAATATTTGTAGCTGGAGGCTTTAATTATGCTGTTAGATAATGGTGCCAAAGTTGATTTTGCAGATAATCAGGTCAGATCTCTTTTATCATATCTTTTTTTTCAATACAACAATTATTGTAGATTACAAAAATACAATTATGCTTGAAAATTGCTGTCACGCTTCACTACACAATTCTGCTATGAGCTTAACATTAACATATAAGTCTACATCAGGTGTAATACTGTTCACTCCGAACTATCAGTATAATAACTTCCAGTTGCTTTAATTATACCATTTAATCATATACAGCAGTGTACAACGATTTTGCAGTATTAGTTATTTCAATGGTGAATACTCAATAAGATTAACTAATTCTTAAATGAAATGCTATAGTTATAACAACCTTTAACAAATTTATCATAATTATGCGTAATGTATTGAAGATATGTACTCAGAAACGGATAAAATTATTGTATGTGAAGATTATTTTATGTGAAGTAAAAAAGATTATTGTTATGTGAAGTAAATTATTGTATGAGAAGAAATTGGCATTACTGTAGGGAGCACAAGCGATACATTACGTGACAGCTACAGAAGGTATTTCAAGGGAACGTTCCGAAGCCATCTTGCACGTTTTATTAAAACACGATGCAAAAGCTAATGCACGTGATGTAGATGGTAGATCGCCAATACTTTGGGCTGCAAGTAATGGTAAATTTTACTACTTCATCCACTTTTATATATAAATTTTGGGAAAAAAATGAAGTTGTTAGATATTGAACTAACCATTCTAATAAGTAATCTAAAACTTATTAATTTATCTGTACTTATTTATTTACATTTTTAAATTCTAAGACTTATAATGTTATTGGAAAAGTTTTATGAAGTTTGGGAAAAAATAATCTGTAAAAAAGTACTTAGAGAAGAATTAATCAAGAAGTTTAATTTAAGGCAACTTGGAAGCTATAATTAGCATAGCACAAGCTGGAGGTGATATGTATGTTGTAGACAGAGACCGATTAAATATAATACACTGTGCTGCAAGTCATGGTCATATACATATTATTGAATATGCTGTAAATTGCTTAGATTCAACCATTCTAAATTCTGTTGATAGAAATGGTGATACTCCATTATTCTATGCTGTAACATTAGGACATAATGATTGTGCTCGATTACTTTTACTTAATGGAGCTGATGCAAATCATCAGGTTAGAGAACTAATAAACTCGTAAACTAAATTCTTTATTGAACTAATGAAATAAATGATTGGAAATAACTGTAACGGCAGAAAAAACTTAAAATACTAATCAGTTAAGCCTATAAAAATTATTTTATGTAATTATAATATCTTTTTCTCTGAATTAATTTATGCATGTTTCAAGTATGGGCATTGAAGGATTATTATCTTCGATGTCCAAGTCATTGCGCAGCTGCAAAAGGTCAACTACGAATACTAAAATTATTGAAAAATTTTGGTGCAAGCTGTGAAATTCAAAACGGACGAGGTGATCTGCCAATACATGAAGCAATTCAAGCAGGTGCCAAAGGTACCAACAATTTAGGCAAATTACAAGTATAAGTCACGTTTATCGAAAAGGTCATGCAGGTAGATATAATTTTGCTCAAATACGACGCTTATTTCAAGCAAGGCAAGACTTCAAGCAAGATAACTTTGGCAAAATTTTTTTATCTGCTCTGAAAAGTTGACTTTTCTCATCTGTTGTGGCAATAAAATTATCCAATAAAACCACTGATTTCATTGATTATTGACTTGATAAACTAAATTCTCCGAAGATTTCTTTTTTTTTGAGATTTTTTCTCGTAAAAATCTCGGAGTAAATCATATTCAAGAAATCCGAATTTGATTTGACTTAAAATCCTTATTATATTCTTACTAAAAGTGTTAGAAATTTCCACACATTACATATTGAGAATTTTGCACACATTTTTGCTTATTTTTCTACAATTATTATTTTGCAGATATATTTTTGTATGTCTTATTTAGCGATTTAAATAGTTAATTTGTTAATTTCATAAACTTTAACCCCATATTCAGTCATTCATAAGTTGGAAAGGCAGATTTTTGGTGACTATTATAAGCACTCCAATTTTGATTCCGTTTTTATTTTTCAGATTGTGTTGAATACCTGCTTGCTCTACATCCCTCAACTATAGATGCCGCCAATCACAGCGGTCGTACTGGATTACATTTAGCGGCAGCTTCTGGGAATATGGAAATGGTCACTTTGCTATGTACTCGAAATGCTCTAATCAATCCATTAATGTTGTACAAAGTTAATATTGATTAAATAATTTGTAAATTTCATATCGAAAATAACTATTAAACATTTAATTCCTAAAGTCAAAATATAAGTAAAAGCTTCTCTAGGATACTCTTTTGAGTCCACTTGATTTGGCAAAACGGAAAAATCATGATTTGATTTTTGAATACTTACGATTACGGCAAGAAGCAAAATTAGCTGAAGAATTACCCGAAGAAGCAAGAAAATTAGCGAAATCTTATTTTGAAAATCATCCTTCAGAAAGTAAGCTTATTGTGTAATCTAGCAAGAAAATTTTTGACTTTTCAATAAACTTTCATGGAACAATCAGTGAAAGATTCAAATTTTTTAAATGAAAACAAGGCCATCAGTATGAATGGGTTTGATTCTCTTGAAACTAATTGCACATTAAGTGATTTTGTTTAATCAGTACAAAATTTGCGGAATTTTGAAAAGATGAAAAACGAATTTTAGGTTCAAAACTTTCTTAAAAAACGGGAAAGTCATTTTACGTTGTTAATAGAATTAATAATTGCTTTTGAATACATTAATTACTTCAGAAAAATGTTTGAAAAAATGTTCTTTCGCAACAATCAACTTTTAAAATTTTAAGGTTCTGTAGAAAAAAAATTTTTGAAAAAAATTCCATTTCAACTTTAGTTCTTAAAAAACAAAGTTTCCAATGCTAGGCACAATTTATGTCAATTCCACGAACTGCCAACTGCTGTTTACATTTTGTATCATATTTCAGACACAAAAAATTCATACGTTACGTACGAAAATGGACTAACTGCAGTTCAAGAGCAAAAGAAGCAAAAATTTGGATTCTTAGCTGATCCAAGTCAAATATTAAATTCAACAAGGAAACTTTCCATATCAAACAATGACGTTGCCGTGAAAGCAGCAAATGCTAGCCAGGAAACACAAACAACAATTACAAGTTATCGAGTTGTCGCTACTAATACTTCGGTTAGATAAATGATTATTAAAAAACTTCTAAACTTCAGAAGATAAATATTTAAATATTGAATGATAATTTTGTCTTGTCTATTTGAAAAAATTTTTTGAAAATTTGATCCCGTTTGCTTTTTATTCTTAAAAAAATTCAAACGAATAAAATCTAAAATTAACAAAATAAATTTGCTAACTATAAATTCGACTGTTAAAGTTTTATGAAGCCATATCAGCACATTCAAAAAATTTAGTGGTAATTTTATTTCATCTAACAGAAAGAGAAATTTTATACAAATTTATCTTATATCTATTTTAATTTGTTGTACATAGATAATGACTTATTCCAGAAGTCTACAAATGATGATGATAAGATCACAAAGGTTATACAAACAACTTTGTCACTTGAACAGTCACATTATTTACCTAAAGCAACAAGCACTACAGATCTCGAACGATACATACCATCAAACCAAGTGAGCTATGTACAAAATATCTAGTCCACTTTCTTGAAAAATCTAGCATATCAGTTTCACTATACTTTTTCCGTTTTATAATCATTAATTAACTAATTAAAAATATTTAGAAAATTGGACGAATTTCCAAATCGTTGGAAAATTCAAGTGGAGAAGTTGTTATTATTGAAAATAACGGACGTGAAGATAACAATTCAACGGTGTCAGAAGATAATGATAATGAAAATTACAACATTAATAACAATAAACGAAGCGAAAATATACCAAGGCCTTCAATGTATTCAGTAATCACGTCAATTATTTTTAATAATTATTTGATTAATCAGGTTGACGTAAACAAAATAAGCTATTAAAGTCTATAATAAAAAAGTTGTAAAGTTTCAGTTACGCTGAAGCACAGGTGTCTATTAACTGAATCTTCCATGTTTATCAGTTCAGATCATTTCAATAGTGAACAATTAAGAATGCAAATCTGTTGCTTAAAGTGAGAGCCGATAAAAATAGCTGTTTGTTTGGATGCAGAGTTTTGATCAAAAATATAAGAAAGAAGAAGTAGCAACTGAAAATGGAAAAAATTTCAGCGGTAGTAATGAAAGTGATAGTGACAACGATAACGATGATTATGAGCAGCATTATTGTAAGAATCATTATAATTTACAGAGTAAAGCATCTACACGCACAAAAAATGTTAATCCTCAATCAGGTTGATTTTTATTGTTATGAAAAATAACTAGTACTGAGCAAAATGAGAGATAAATAATTTTAAAGTAAATCAGTTGATGTAGATCAAGTGTGATTTGAAGTAAAATATAGGAATTTGGTAGCAAAGGTCGCGTAAATTCTGGAGTTATTTCTTATGAGTTTCATGCTAAAATTTAAATAATTTTTTTAAACTCTCGAAAAAGATTGTTGAATATAGTGGACTTAACGCAGGAGCTTTGTAGATTTTGTATGGTAATGTTAATGAAATGATAGACATGCTTCATTAGCTTGCAGTATTATTAGCAAATATTTAATTATAGTATTACTTTCATTAATATTCACACTTTGATTCTAATAATAGGCAGTGTGAAACGATCTGGAAAGAATAAATTAAAAGATAATGATAGAGATAATTTGGAGGCAAAGTTGAAGGAATCAGTAGGCTTACAAAATATTGATATTTATAAATGTAAACCAAGTGGATCAACGATGCAACTTCAGAAAAATAATCAATGTAAGTTTTTATTTTTTCACTTCACGTAAGTATTTAAAAATTGCTCTAGTGATAGTGTAGGACTAGTACTGATAAGTTTTATTTCATTCAATAATTTTAATATTATTAAAATTGTTGTGCTGATAATCAGTAAAGAATAAATTCGGAGTCTATTTAAAAACAAATTTATATTCAATTTCTTGTTCCAGAAAACAGTGAGAGTGATCAAAAAACGTACTGAAATTGATGCTAACAATTAAATTCCATGTTTAATAATTAAAAGACTAATTATTATTATTATTCAGATAATAATTCGAATAAGAAAATGATTTGAGTAAAACAGTACTTTCAAACAATAAAGTATTCATAAAATTTATCATAAAAACAATACAATTACTTGCCACAAAATAAAATTATAGACAAGAAAATTGGTGTGTGCTATGCTCATGAAAAAGTTATATTTAACGAATTAACTCATTTGAAAAAAATGCAGTTACAATATGGCAAAGTGAAAGAATCTGTTTTGGTTCGTTCACTTACTAATAATTTCTGTAGAATGCATAATCTCAATGCAACACACTTCAACTTCCAGACATTTCATGCTTGGGAAAAATTTCTTCATGGTTTGTTTATTCATTCAAATTTCATATCTGAAAAATATTTAAGTAGAGAAAAGAAACTAAAAAGTAAAGAAATTTCCATATTCCATTTATGAAGAAACAGAATTATTACGTCTAATTAAAATAATAATATAATACCAACAGATATAATGATGTGTTTCTGTAAACAATTTAGTCCCAATTTTATTTATCTCGATATTATTAATATAGCTTAAACCTGGGTACTTAATTTTGAGAATAATTAATCTCGTGAAAAATTTCTTCCGTTTAGATCATCTTTCAGATCAGTTAAAGTTACTCTATGAAGAAGAACGAAATCGCATTATGAACAAGCAAAAAGTACCTCATCCCTCCGTCATAAAGTACGTTTTAATCTTTTTCAACGAACACATATCGTACTATTTACTTTAATTCATATAGCATCAACAAATATTCTGGAAATTACAACACTAACGCAACCATATAAACAAAAAATTATATTGACAATATTACTATACTGAGTATTGCTTTATCGTAGGTAAATCGAATTCTTTGTCCAAGCAATCTTTTAATCTAAATGCAATTCAGTTTTTAGAGGATTTGATAATAGGTAAAATAACATACTGAAAACTACAGTACATGTTTTAGATAGGTAGTAGTCAGTTCCAGATGCTTTTTTCATAATATAACATACAAAAATATGAGCTTACAATTGTAATCAACTAGTTTAGATTCCGAAACCATCTAGACAGAGCTCAAGCAGTTCCGCTAAATGTACGTCTGACCGACTTAGCGCATGCATACCGTACTAACTTGCTACCAAGTACCATAACAGAAGACTCATCTTCTGCTAAAAGTGACACGTGTCAATGTGGTGCTGAGAAACGGTGCAACTGTTTGAACAACAAACGCGATTTAATGTAACCTCACCTTATTTGTTTATCAAAAACTTGCATAAGCATAAGCAACTTTAGTATTTACAAATTACAACGATTAATTAGTCCTAATCTTTACTCTTGCTTATTTTCCATCACACATTTGTGACATGAGCATAAGTTCTAAAATTATCCTGATCTATTAGGAATCAAAATAATGACTTTCATAGCCGAAATATGAGTAATATATACCATAAAATGACTTCTGACCGTGAGATTCCAGATGTCATCAATGACAAAGTTAGTCTGCATTATGTCCTTAACTACTGCTTGACAGGATAATCTTAACTCTGAGATCAGAATACTTTTGAGAATCTGATTTCAAGATTTCATCAGCGCAGAGTACAGAATTTGTACAGTTGCATACCATACAATACTACCTCCCTCAACAATACTGCTAGAGTGAGCACTTAATTAGAACTGTGATACTTCTATCATTTACTCACCCAGAAATAAAATTGACATATAAATCTGTCTACAAAAAATAAAGAACTGTGACTGTAATGTCGTTAAAATTTCTTTAATGAGTCCTATTCTTGTTAAACGAAGACATTGAATGTAATATAAACTTTATCAACCATGACACCATCAGAACTGACTAATCTCAAAACTGTAAGCAATCATGAAACATATTTCAATCCATAGTAGGAAAAAGTAATTATTATCAGAAACGTCCCCAGACTTCCGGACTCTAGAAAAGATTATGCCGCAATTCAAGATTTAAACTTCTGTCAGAATTACGCATGAAATTCTCATCGAAATTTAAAATACTCGCTTCAATTCATTATTTAATTTACAATGAGCCAACTGCAATCCACATACACAAAACGGCAACACACGCCTCCTGTATAATATCAATAGCAAACTTTTGAATTTTAGATATTCTGTATCATTATTAATAATAGTTGTTCAGAATTAATCTAAACCGACAAACTATATCGTCAAAGGAATAAATGTCCTTTCATCTTCATTAACATCTATCTAAGCGTTATTGACACCAGAAGATGTCTTGACAAAGAGTAGATAAAAAATGCAGTTTGTGAATGGTACATGAAACGAGCGAAATAAAACTTGAGGAATCAAGTCCTACTGATGTAGGTCAATCAATATCAAGGATCTTTGCTATACAAATAGAAAAAATAATTTTCGTGGACAAATATGGTCGTAAGAATTTCTAAAACTGATAAGATAGATAAAGTAAGTGGATTTAGAAGAGAGATTCTAGAACAGTGGGATTTGACTGAAAATAGAAACAAACTTCACAAAGTATTTCGTGCAAACGTGCGCTACCAGATAGCAATTTACAAGACAAGACGATTACAGGAAAAGTAGAATAATATCTGGCTACCAAATAGCAATTTACAAGATAAAAAAATCACTATAAGTATACACTACTCATCGTTTTCTGCCTCCACCTTGCATACCCATCATTATTGTAGCCAATCGAATAAAAATGTTCAAGACATCCATATATATAGAAAGCTGTCTGAAATATGAACACTGATTTGCATTATGATGGAAAACAGCCATCTAAATAATGAACTCAACAATTCAAACCACCGAAAAATTGTTTTTGAGATAAAAGTAAACGGATTTCCATGACCACACACTTCACACAAAACTTTTAACATCACATTATAGATACAAACGTGAAAAGCATTGAACAAGATTTGCAATTAAAAATTTATGAACATACGCATTGATTGGATCAAATCGGCGAATTTTAGGTGCTGCAACATCATAATATCCATTACCAATGCTACCATAATATCCAGATTTGTAAACCTGTTCTTCACTTGTGCCCGAAATTGGATGCATCTGTGCTCGTTTGACCACATATTGAGTGTCAAACAATAGGAAAAGAGAAAATAATATCAAACCACCATAGATGGAAATCGACATCAAACCTACGAAACATTATATTCTTGCCTTAAGCTAATGTATACAGAAGTAAACAGATTACGATTAGTTGCTTAAGAAAGCATTACTAAGCAAAACTTTATCTGTAATCTAAACCATATCTCGGATAATCAGAAATGCTCAATATCTCACTCCATATAATGTTAAATGATTACACACATATCGCTATAATTTTGCTTTTGTTACTGAAATTCGTTGTACCGGACAAAATAATATTCATAAGCCATACTTGCACCAAGTGCAGATGTCGGGGGTAAGAAGAATGTGCCAATTGATGATGCAAACACAACACCAAGACCCATAGCCAGGGCTCCTCCCATCATTAAAAATTTCTCAGAGGGCGCAGTGAGAGCAACTGTTGACAGTCCTAAAAATTGATAACTTCACGCAATTTTATTCCCCAAATCGAACAGATACTAACTCTAGCAGTTATTTGCTAATCATTCCTAAAGGGTTAAGTTCATTATATTATTTGGAAATTTCTCAACAGATGTTTCATAATGATATGACACTGTTATTTCCTGCAATCGCTACCAAACTTCACCTTGCTAACATATATAATCTCTGCTTATTACGATTTTAGTTATATGGAATAAGGATGGGTGATTCATAATAAATACATAAAATCCAGCAAGAGTGAAAAAAAAAACCTGCTACAATAGCTGCGGTATACCATGCTGCCCGTATTGCTAGTGGGCCTCCCATCAAACAAATCGGCCCAATGAATGTACCCATTAAACCTGCATGTAAGAGCCACGCAGCATGTTTCAGCAACTTATTGTCGTAATCAATCAGTGACACTGCGATACTACTTGCCATCACAGCAGCCATAGAGAGAAACGGTGACTTAAATGAAATAAATTTAAGAATGTGGTCACAAAACTTTTACAATTTTGTATAAAGAAGCTCTGACACGGTAAATGCATGTTACACAACTTGTTTACACCCAAATATTTCAATAGAACTTCATTTATATAGAAATAAACATATGAATTTGACATTACAAAAATTTTTTCTCAAGTATTACGATAATAACTATTATAATAATTAATCACAGAATGATAGAGAGTTAAAACTCGTGAAACAAAATACTTGGCCCTTGCACAGACACTTTCCGTAGCCTTGGGTATAAAAAAGAAAAAAATCCTCAAATCAGAAAACAAAAAAATAAAATTACCCCCATAATTAATCGCGAAATTTGAAATGATCTCGATGATACTACAGCTGAAGCTGCCGTTACTCCTAGCGATGCAAACAAATAACCATATGTCGACTTTATACGATCTCGCACGTATGTTGGCCATGTTCTACAACAACGGTTTCATATTATTTTTTAAGACCAAATAATACATACTATTTTACGGATATTGCTGAATACTTGAAATAAAATTTCACTGATCAAATTTTATGTAAAAGTACTATATGGAGTTGAAATCCCAAAAAACTAATCAACAAATGTGGAATTAGTAAATAGACCAAACGAAAAATAAAACGGATTAAAACCAAAATTTAGTTGTGAATGAGAATAACCAACCCTGACTGCACCAAGATGCTTTGACCTCCTTTTGAAAGTCCTAATCCATAATAACACAAAGCACCAATGCCAAGTAATGATGCTCCAGCTACAGCCGCACTTCCATAAACAAATGCTGAAATAAGAAATGAAATGTTTGATATACAGAATTCAACTAGACAAATGTAAAAATCAATGAGCACTAAAATAGCTTCATATACGTTTTCCAGTAGTAGGTCCCATAAGACGTTCTTTCAGCGTTGTACGCGTAACTTCTTCGACACCATAATTCTGAAAATTAAAACCTTACTTGACAGTGAATAAGTATTGTTATGTAATGACCAAAGTGATTCGTTAAGAATCATTGTCCTACAAAACTGAATCAACTAATATTCCATAACAACGAAGAAATTCCACTTAAGTTATAGAAGTAGTTAAATTGAGGAACTTTACATCATCACCATTCTCCATCAGTAACTCAAATCCTAGTATTCTACTTATTATTCAAGTAAATGAATCATTATCTTATCTGATCATTTCCAAATTTAAGTTATTCTAAACATAATAACTTACTCCTCCAAACCGACGTCCAGCAAATCTCGCATTATTATGGGTTGTTTTTGAAAATTGACGGAAAACCACAACAAAGCTATTCGACAATGGCTGTGAAGAACCACAAAAGAATCTTGACAACATTGCAATATGTTAGTTTGCAGTAATTTGATTCAGCACTGAAAATGACAATTTAAACCAGTCACAGAGTTGGCTAAAATAGTGAATGAAAAATATTCGGTTAGCTTTACCTTAAATTCTACAAAACAAATGGTCAATAACTACAAATATAAAGTACAAGGCATTTCATCTTTGAAACAAATTTGAGCCTTAGGTTTCAATCTTTAATCTTTCTATCAACAACAAGTGTTTATTCCAAGCCGAACCACAATATAGACACGATCATACATTAGCCAACGTTCACAAAGCATATGTAACAGTTGTTGCACCAATTTACTTACACTTTTCCAAACTTCATGAAAAAAAAATGGCCCAACGGTATTTTAATCGGAGTCTCTACGAACTTTTATTATCCCACACCTTTTGCAGGTACTTAAAGATACAAATGTTCCACGTGCAATAGTCATACTTGCTAGACAGATCATACCTTCTTCTACGGTTATATATAAGAACCATATTTACAAAATTCATGCTTGAACATTCTCCAGATGAATTTAAAATTTTGGATAGTAAAATTAAATCTCAGCGCATCAAGATTTTAAAGATTTCGACATTGTGAACAATTATGGCGAAGTATTTTTGAAATAAAATAGCTTTAAAGCATACAAATCCTGTCCAAGTTCGAAGGATTGTATACTGCGTAATTACGCATTATTTTTGAGTCAACTGCAGCATTTCAAAACAACATTTGAATGAATTTTTTAAATTAACATCCATCATAATATTAACAAGATTAAAGAAAATCTTAGGAACACGAAATATGTGCAAATAATCTGCTTCTTCAACTGGTGAAAAACAAATGATCAACTTCTGCATAAATATACACAAAATTGATCAATTTAAGGTACAAAATTATCAACTTCAAAAACATCTACTGTAAATTTCAAAATTCGCTTCTAATAAGTATTGCTAGATATTACGTCCCAAAAAAAAAGTAAATGAATACATCTATTATGAACCGAAGAACTTATTTTTTCTAAACACTTACATAGCTAAATATGATCGTCATATTTATTGTGATTGACTTTACAGTAAAATATGGCTATAAGAATATTACGTACGAGAAGCGCATTTAGGAGGATCTGTTGGTGCATTATTAGAGAACTGTGATGCAGCGTATGCATCTATTCGAAGAGCGTGCACCGGTCCAGCAAGCTCTTCTTTCAAGCAGTCGTTAACAAGACGATGCATCTGAAATGAATTTCTGTAAAAAACTTCTTTCAAAAGACAAAAAAAGGAAACAAAACACATTCCAAGTTACTTCATAAATTTAACAACTAAAATTAACAAAAAACACTCCGCACACATACAAAGTCTCTTTTTTTATGGCTAATTTCGTTAAATGAATAGCATACAAAATGCGAATAACTTCAAAGATGCACATGATCTAAAACATTACTATCTATTTACAGCTAATTTTTTAATTCCAAATCAAAACAGAATTCCTACGCAAAAACTTTTTCATCTTTCCTTATTAATATTTAATAATATGACATTTGCACTATAACCTGTAAAGTTCGTAATCCTTCAAAGTGTTGAGAAACAATCTGCACATAAAAATGCCTCTCTTCACTGCGATCACCAGCGTGATTTTGGCTTTCACATTCGACTGCCAAGTGAGTGGGCTCAAATGACAAACTTAAGCATATTGTAAGTAATTTAACAAATAAAAATATAGTGCTATTAATTATTTCATACACTTACAAACAGAGAACAATTTATGACATAGATACTTGTAAACTTTTGGACAAGATGAAAATAAAAGCCAACCTTAAACTCTTTTTGGAGTCTTTGCACAATCTGATCCCTTACAGGGCCATGCCGAGCAATACACGTATGAATCTTTCTGCCAATCCTAAACATAATTCAACGCAAATGCACTGAAAAATAAAACTTTACTCAAGTTAAGTTTAAACTTATGTAACTGTTCGAAAAATGAAGAAAATACAGGCAAAACAAAAACGAATGCTTGGAATTTTAACATACTGAATAGCTATAATGAAAGGACCTTTGTCAAATTTATTAATTTTTTGGTGCACTGCTGAAATTTCTATACAAAACAGTATTAATGTGGTTGAATAAACAATTCATTCTGTCTGAAAACAATACGGAAATCACGCTTATTCTAGCATGATTTTCGTACCAAATTGGTACGTAAAACAGTACTTTTATGTACTGTCAGAGAATTAAGGAGTAGTTAAAGCTAAAAACGCGCATGTATAAAAATTCATCTTCATTCACAAAAATATATCACTGATTGCACCACCTTGTAACCAAATAGAGCGTAACTTCGGCATTAGCTTTCAGGTACATTTTGTAAATAGTTAACTATTGAGTAAAGAGATTGATCTGGGTAAGTTCGTCATGTTGACCCGAGTTCTGTCACCCAACCGGTCCATGTTAGGACATCAAATTCGTCTGAAACGAATAACTTGGTTCAACTGAGATCATCAGGTCGGATCATGAGATGATTAGGACAGTATCGTTAGATTTGAACTTGAAAATTTGGAAGTTTATTCCTTTTGTACATGTTGAATCATGAAAAGTTTATACTTAAGATTCTGTTATTTCAGGAATTTTTGAATGATTATAAACGTCCCAGTTGGGGAACAAAAAAAACGAAAACTTCGTATTCAGAGTAAGTGTTTTCGTAACTTAGACCAATTGCTGAATTATTTTCTCATCAAAGTAATCTAATTAAACTGCAACATTTTATTATATCAAAAGTCGAGAAATTTTTGATTTGATTTGTATATTTCTATCTTTGATAATATTTTTCTCTTTATTGTTAGTTTGATCTCATGGATTGTATTACCATTTTTGTGAAGAAATATTTTCATTATTAGCAATAACAGTGACCATAGGCAGTATTTTGAAAGATTATTAAATTCTCCATTATTAACTTTCAAAATTACTAAATCTGTAATTTATTGTGACTGACCTTAGAGATATTTTTGTTATAAGTAATTAGAGAGAAAAGTAAGAGTTAGATTATTTTGGGTAATGTTGCAGATGATAAGAATTGGAAACTTTGTTGTTGGTTCTGCAGATAAGTATATTCATTCATTATGTTGTAAATCAATTCGGTATAGCAACTTTACCGTGCCATTTTCATTCATTCATTCACTTCCCAAGAGATATCCATCAAAAGCTGTATCTTTATTACACCAGTCATTTTCACGCCAGTCAGAATCATATGGTTTTCGACGATTTTTCGGCACATCTTCAGGTTAATATAACTTTCTTGAGTAGTTCTAGCTGTATTAAACGTTTTCAAGTACTGCAGTGATTAAATCAGTTGAATAAAAGAAAGTGTATTGTTGAAACTTTGTCCTATTTTCGGTTATGCTTGAATGTTTTCTTCAGCTGTATGTTCAGCACCTGATAAAAGTGATAGCAGAAGCGAACAAGAATCTTCGAAAGAGCCTGACGATGGAAAATTCAGTAAGATCTCCGATTTATTTTCGTGATAGTTGTAAAATATTGGATAAAAATTAATGTAATAAGAAATATAATGGGGAGTATGCTATATTTCTATAACAACATTGTAAAAAGTTCATCTCTGTTTTTATCTTATACATGTCTAGTTTGCAATACCCCAAAATTTCTGAAACATGAAACTAAAAAATTATCTCCATGTATTTATTAAGTGTTTTTACGCATCAGTCAGTAATTTTTCATTTAGTACCTATATTTCGTTTTAATTGGTTCTTAATTATTCTCTTCATCTGAAATATTCAGTAAAAATTGTAAATCATATTTTTTAATCTTATTTTTAAAATTTTAGAAAAGTTCGCTGTCGGTGTTTTTATTGGAAGTTTAGTAGCGACTGTGATTATGTCAGTTATAACAAACATATGGCAGACAAGAAATAAAAATCAGTTGACAGTTCAGGATTTCCTTACACGTATAGTTCCACTAGGACAGGTAAAAATTTCTCCTTAAAAGCATCAATAAGTAAATTTTGTTTCTAAAAAGCAGTGTTTTATATGTTAACAGCACCAATGGAAACAATTTCACTGAACCGAATATTGAAAAAATAGATCAGAATATTTAAGTTTGCAGTTCTTATTCATATCAGCTAGACATACTGAACATTTTCATTTATTGATAACAATTTGAAAAAACAATTTTAAGATTTTTAGTGATGTTAATATTTTGCCGTTCATAATAAAGCTTTTATAATAATCGGTCATAATCTAATTCAATTCTTAATTAAAATTTTATTTAAAAAATTGACGGTATCAATTACAGTTGCGAATATGTGTCGAAACCAAATCATTAAATTACAGAGAATCAAAGAAGATTTTCATATGTAATATTTTTAGATCGAACAAATCATAGTGACTGGAAATGTTGCTCGTGTTATCATGAAACCAGGTCCAATACAAAATCTGCCATTTAATGACCTTGGCTACAATGTACAAGATTTTTCGTTTAGTACATATTTATACTTACTACGCATTCTTTATCTTTTTCTCATTGAGCATACTTTCACTGTTCAAAATCATGACATTTACATCATATAGTTTTATACAATGTTTACTTTGAATATATTCATACTTTCTGAAGTCTGACGAATTGTTAATTTTCTTCATCTTTTTAAATCTTCACTGCATATTTTTAGCTCTTTAAACCAGGAATAGGTTGGCAGAAGGTTTATGTACTGACAACAATGGATGCAAAAAAATTAGAAGCAGATATTCGTGCGGTAGAAACTGCAATCGGGAAAGCACCCGAAGAGTGGATACCCGTTTCGATTATTAATGCTTCCGTAGAAGGATTTTTGTATGTTTTTGTTTGCTTAATAAGCAGTGTTTTATCGCACTATTAAAGCAATGAATTTTTCATATATTTACTTGATTTTCATTCATTACAGGGATATTTTGTTGCTGATAGTGCTTGTACTAATGCTTTTCGGGGCCTCGAAATCTCTTCGTTCAGTGAAGGTGTGCATTTGGTAAATCATCTTTAAATAAAATTATGATTGTTATAAAAGGCTTCAGATCCACAGTTAACATGACAAATGTAAATTGCAGGGTTCACTTCAAGATGTTCTGGGTATGAAAATGAAGCTAAATATAATTAATCCAAAGGGCACTAACTCTCTTAAAATAAAATTCAAAGACGTAGCAGGTTTACATGAAGCGAAAATCGAAATAAAAGAATTTGTGGATTACCTCAAACGTCCTGAAAAATACACGGTAACAAGTTTTTGTTGAAACTAATTTCTATCGTTCCTTCATCACTGTTTTTTAGCATCATTTTACAGTGGTATTCTTTTTGAGATGGCGTGCATAGTTTCTTGTATATTCGTCCAAAATTGTTTTTTTGAATTTTTCTTTGAAATTTGTTTTTTCAGAAATTGGGAGCTCGCTTACCGAAAGGAGCATTGCTGACTGGCCCACCAGGTTGTGGAAAGACGTTCTTGGCGAAAGCTCTCGCTGCCGAATCTTCAGTACCGTTCATTTCAATTAATGGAACAGAATTTGTTGAAATGATTGGAGGCATTCATTTTATTGTTTATAAGTGTTTTATAGTTTAGATGATGTTTTTTCATTTCTAAGTCAATGAAGCAGGTATTTAGGACTGGGAGCATCGAGAATTAGAAACTTGTTCAAAACTGCAAAGAAGATAGCACCATGTATTATTTATGTAGACGAAATAGATGCTATAGGACGAAAAAGAAGTCAGAGGTAGTTTTGCTAATAGAATTGAACAAAAATGACTATTTTTCGGAAGTTAATATTTTCAGTGATTTTGCGGGAGGTGGAAGTAGAGAAGAAGAACAAACTTTGAATCAATTATTGGTTGAAATGGATGGTATTGATAGTGGACGGGGCATAGTTTTACTTGGTTCGACAAATCGCGGTGATATTTTAGATAAGGTTTGGCATTCTTATTTTCTAATCTTTATTTTTTTTTGAAACTTTTTTCTCAGCAGAAATCGGTATCAGGTTGTAAATTCTTTCAATTGTACATGGAGGCTGTTGATGCAGCAGAATCAGTCAAGTGTTTGAATCTTTTGGGTTCGAAAAAATTTATTCAGGCTCTTCTTCGTCCTGGTCGGTTTGATCGACATATTATTATTGATTTGCCTACGGCTTTGGAAAGACAGGAAATGTTTGAATTGTATCTAAAGAAGATCAAGTTGGACAAAGAACCGCAATATTATTCTAAGAGACTTGCACAAATGACTCCACGATTTTCAGGTAACAGCAATTTCCAAATCTTGGACAAAAACAGTTTTCGCCGATAAACTTTGAATATTTTTTTATGGTGAAAATACTTTGACGCTTATCATAAAACTCTCAAAGTACTTTTACTGCATGAGTTATGCTATTCGCTGTTGTCTTTAACGTCTCAATGAATTTTTGGGCAAGTCAAAAGAGTTTCTCTTATTTTTAAATGTTAGGAGATTACTTTTCAGGAGCGGATATTGCTAATGTGGTAAATGAAGCAGCGATTAGAGCAGCGTCGTTAAAGAAAAACTTGGTAACTGTTGATGAACTTGATGCGTCATTACAAAGAATTCTTGCAGGTTTGTTTCTTCAGACTTCCTGCAGTCTTTAATATCTTCGAAAACTTTATCAATGTTTTTTTTCAATTCTCAATATGTCATTAAAATTATTCGATTCTAGGAGCTGAAAAAAGAAGTCGTTCCATGGTAGAGGAAGAACGTGAAATTGTAGCGTATCATGAATCTGGTCATGCTTTGATTGGCTGGTTACTTGAACACACTGATGCATTACTAAGAGTTTGTTTTGTAAACTTATGAAAAGTATTAGCTGATTGCTTTTTTTAATTACTCATTATTGTTGTCTTAATATTTTTGAATTTCACTATATTTTGTCGGTCTGCTAATTTTATGATTTAGGTTTAATTCTGACTAGAAGACATTTATTGTAGTTTTTCAGTTTAGGTTAGCATTATACCACGAACTAGTGCTAAGCTTGGTTTCGCACAGTATAGTCCAAGGGAGCGGAAGTTGCTGACGAAGGAAGAGGTGTTTTTGTCTGACATTCATTTGCTAAGATTTTTCTTTGAAGTCTTTTATTTTAGTGTTTGACTGAAATGATTTTATATTATGACAGTAATGTAGTTCACTTTGTTCTTTATTAAGTCAGGTTCTTTGGAATTTACAGTTTTTAATTTTGTTGCAGATGTTTGATCGTATGTGCATGTTATTAGGTGGTCGAGCAGCAGAAAACATTGTTTTTGGACGTGTTACCACAGGTGCTGAAGATGATTTAAAAAAGGTGGTTAAAACAAAAAGATATTCATGATTGGAAATCAATTTGAAAAGTTTTTAGATTTCTGTTTCTTTTTAATCTAGCACTTAAAGTTAAATTTGGTAGTAGACTTAAATTCACTAGAATTTTAGGGAATATTCTTAAATATTATGAGTTTAACTTTGTATTTTGCAGGTCACCAAATCAGCATATGCACAAGTGCAGCAGTATGGAATGAGTGAAGCCATTGGACCTTTAAGTTTTCCAGTGACTGATGATGACAAAAGTGAGGAAGGAATTTACAGAAAACCTTTCAGTATGAAACTGCAGCATTTAATCGATCAGGTAAGCTTGATTTGAAAACAAAACAATAAGTCTTTATATTAAAATTTTGTTCACAAAAGATATGATACATCATGCAGTTGAATAAATGCAGAAAATAGTTATGTTACAGGAAGCTTCAAAATTGGTATCTAAAGCATATTTTGCTGCAGAAGACATTTTGAAAACAAATAGAGAAAAACTGAAAAAGGTTTGTGAGTTTTTTAATTTTTTGGGTTATCATTATTTAATCAAAATTAGCCACCTCCCTCCCCCTTTTCCAAAAAAAAAGAAAGAAACTTATCAGTTATATGAAACTTTCAATACTGTGTTTTTAAAAAAGATTAGAAATTAGGAATATTTGCTGAGAAAACTGGATTTCAATTTTCAAACTCATTTTGTCACTTAATTCGGAAATAGAGTCTTTTTGCTGCTCTGTTTTTCTTCTTCAAACATGTGTAGTCTAAATGCGTATCAAAGACTTCTAATTACTTTCCTAAATACGTTTTAAGTTTTTACGATTTCACTTTTCATGTTTTGCTGATACACTGCAGTATTTGAAACGAATTTTAGCTGTTGTTTATACAGAAATAATAGTTTTAGTTAGCGGATTCTTTATTGCAAAAAGAAGTTTTGAGATATGAAGATATGGTACGGCTAATTGGACCTCCTAAATTTCCGAAGCAAGTCATAGAATTAACAGATTCTGTTCTGGAAAATCTCAAAGATTCGTAGTGCATTTGTACAAAAAAAAGTTGTATTTGAATAACGTTGTGTGCTTTTCTTCGTAATGTCTATGTTAGATGAAATTTTTAATCCTGAAGTTTGCAGAACATCATCGCTATTAAATTTTTTCCTTTAATTCTGTCATTAGTAGAATACTTCATTTAATTTACTTGTATGATTTTCCTATCTGAATTATGTATAGTTTAAGCTCAGATGTTTTTTGATAACACTATGATGGCTTCACAATTAGGCAGTATATCTGATTTTTTTTAAAGTATCGCTTTGCACATCTTATTAAATTTATTCATTCACATTTAATTTGTTGGAAGAGAATATAAGTTATTTCTCTTCAAAAACTTTCAATTAATGTTTTTTACTTTCATTTATGTTGCATTTTAAATTTTTGTCATAGGTTCTGAATAAAGTGAAGTGTTTTTGATTCTTTCTTATGTTGCATATACTATGTCCTGTTTGCTAGACTTGCACCCTAAATGCTTTTAGAATAATAAAAAAATAGGCATATTTATTGAATCTAAGTTTAACGCAGATAGTAATTTTAGGCAAAAATTACAGATGACTGTTATGAGTGCTAAAGGTTCTTTGCATTCATTTTGTGTCAGTAATGCTACAAATACATCGAGCATATTTATTTACAGCGTTGAGTTTATTTAAAAAATTGTAGATTAGAAGGACAGTTGTTTGTAATTATACAGTTTTTATAGGCAGTAAGATGTGATGATAGAGGAAAATTATGAATCAGGAATGTGGTTTTGGTAGTTGAGAAATCTGAGTTGTTTCTCTTGCTGACATAGTGTACACAATACAATATTTATAAAATCTGCGCAGGAATTGTTGCTTCTCTTAAAGGCGTTCATATGATTTGATCGTTTACAGATAGATCACAAGAGTTCCACATTTTCTTCTGCATAATTTTAAAAATTATTGGCAGATTTGGTTTTTTGTAGTTTCTGTTTCTATTACACTAATATATTTTTTTCATAAATAATTATAAAACTGATATCTTAATCTCATCAAAGACATTATTAGGAATTGCGGCGTTAATCTATTCGCTTAATAAAGATATCTTTTTTACCGTATTGCATCCTGAAGTTCGAAGTATTAACGTATTGCATCCTGAAGTCTTAAGTTTTTAAATCATTAATATTTGTTCAGTTAAGAAGGAAGTATAAATTTCTCACTTACTAACAGCCTTTTTTTAAACAATTGTCAGTAAATTTGTGAAGATATTTGTTTGTAATGTATTTTTTTTACATTCCATATTAAGTATTAGCTTTATTATGTTATTTTATTTTTGTAAGAAATCAAGTGACGTAAGTGCTTTATGTGAATATGCAAGTACATTTTTTTTCGAAATTTTATATTCCTAAAGCATTTTAGATCGAGCTTATGTTTGTTTTTTGCTTTATAAAAATAATGATTTCAAATAATAATTACATCGCTTTTCAATTATACTTAATAACTGTGTAGAGAGAAAATTAAATTCAAAAATTTAAATGTAGTAATGGACTAATAAAAGATTTGTGAACATGAAGTTATTTAATAGTCCTTTTTTGGTTTTGTAATTTGTCTGACATTAGAATGTGATGGATTTTATCGTTCAAAATTGTAATGGAAAAGTTTAAATAAGTTCTGGTACGAAATTTTGATTTCTAGCAAATGTAAGGAATCTAAGCGAATTATTTTTTTAAAGTGTAAGTATATTACACAACTTGTTTGTTTAGAATTTATTTAGCCTTTTTTTCGAATATAGTTTAATGCCATTTGATTAATTAGGAGAAGTATGAGAAGCAGATGACATGTATCGTAATTTGGAATGCTACTGAGTTGCAGATTCTGAATCCTCTCGCAGGAGTTGTATCATTCAGACTCATTGCTACTATATCATGGAGATCTAAGGAAGTGGGTTCCATAGTTGTGATGCTATCAGGGGTACTTTCTTCAATATATTCAGAATTACTAATTTTGTTGATTTCGCGCAGCTCTTTTTTCTTTTCTTCCTTTATTTGTGTCCTTGATTCTAAAAATAAGCACAGTACGTAGATTAAATAAAAGTAATATATTTTTATCATATTTTTCTTATCTTCTTTACCATTATTTAGTGTAGAATTAATTATTCAATAACTGAAAATTCTCAGGCAGTAATTTATTTGATTAAATAATATTTGTTTATTACGATATTCTGAGAGCTTCATTTTGATGCTTTGCACTAACATCAACATGAATATTATGTATCACAAAAGTGTATGTATGATTCCAATGATTCCAAAGCACAGTTCAAGAGTACCTCAGAAAGTACTGAATCTAATAGATGTTATATTTACAAAGTCAGTAAGAAACTCATAGTTTTTCGAAGTTGACCTATTTTTTGACTTTCATTCCTATTTGCTTTTGATTGCAGTTCTTTAGCTTTCGCTTTTTTTAACTGTTCAATCCATTCGGCTTTTCCACTTGACAAAAGTTGCACATTTTTTCCATATTTTGGGGATTTTGTTCCACCAATGGCTAAGAAATTGTTTAGACTTAGTGTTGTCGATCAAGATAATACTTGCTTTATCAAATCACTACTGATAAAGTCAGCTTGTGTTGAGCATTTACTATTATACTTGAAATAACTTTTGATAAAGTCTCACTTATCACAGTATATTATTTTCTTCTATCTTAACTTTACCCATTCATTTTCATTTTGATCTCTCTTAAAGGAATTATTTTGATATGATAGAACTGTAGAAATTCCTTCCTTATTAACTTCATGATAAGGTAGTTTTTGGGCATTACCTATATCACAAAGTAATCCTTCAAAGTTTGCTGGACAATCGCAAAAAAATGCTGAATAACTGCTTGTGGTCCGGCAAGTTCCATTGTTCAAACATGGATTAATATCGCATGGTCCTGATGTAACAAATTTTTACTCTTTTGGCTCCATCACAAGTTTAATATTTAATTTTTTTAATATAATATAGTATTTGAGATTTTCAAGCCCTAATAATTGTCAAAATTTGTAATTTACTTTCATATTTATGCACATCAGTGTTTACATTTGAATACTGGATCATAACAGTTGAAAATGTATATTTGAAAGCAAACAAACTTGATTCGCAATGAATACCACCGAATCCAAGAGCACAGAAGCATTCATAAGATGTCTTAGGATTATCAATTTTAGCAATACATGTAGCACCATTTTTACATGGATTTACTGTACATGTATTAAATTCTGAAATCACTGCGGTTATGTTATCAAAGATTTCGTCTTATGATAAAATAAGGCAATAGCTGGTAAAAAACTTGTATGTAATTGCAGAAACTGTGTTTTTTAACCACGATTCTATTTGAAGTTGTATATAAGTTATTACAGTTTTGCTACAACATATTAATAATGGTAGACGATTCTGTTCATAAATAATGATAAAATTACCTTTGCTATCGTTGGTCATTCTGTTGGTTTTTATGGAACAGTTCTTGCCTGAATATCCATCGATGCATTTGCACTGGTAAGATTTCATTTTTTTATTGAAATGACAAGTGGAGTTATTGAGACAAGGATTCACTGTATAACAAATGTTTTCAGTTGTATTGTTACTGCCATCAGTATTTAAAGTATCGTTAAATGTATTTGCTACTTTTGTTTTGGAATCATAATTTTTTTCTTTTGATTTGGAAGGATGTGAAAATTTCATTGCTTCTGATGTTGTTGTTTCATCTGATTCTGTTCCTAAAAATTAGATATTTTTGGTAAACATTAAGAATCGCACTGTAATGAAATTTGATTTAAAGTTTTAATAAAAAGTTAATTTCTATGCTTTCTTTGGATTGTGTAAATGTATGTTTTTGAATAATTTTCTTTATAATACAAATTTTTAGATATTAAGTATGATTGAACTTATGATACCGTTAGAAAGTTTGATTTCCTTGAGCAGTCTCTGCAATTTTTCGTATTTGTCTCGATGATGCCATCCTTGAAATAGCTTCTTTATTAAATTCATCATATTATATATTTTATTGTAAAATTTATGTTCTTCTATGGTCAAAATTAACTTTTAAGACGGAATAAAAAAGTCCAAATTAAATTCATAATTAAATTCATAAATATTCAAATTTTCGAGCGTTTGAATCTGCTCAAATAGATAATAATATCTAAAATCACATATACTGATTAACATTCAAACTGATTAATTAAGATTCGTGAAAAAATTTACGGTGATGAGTTGCAGGCCTTAGACACATTTCCTTACAAGAAGCTTCGTCTTGAAATAAGTTCTGACTTTTACCTTTACATCCATCATACCAAAATGGAATGCATTTCTGAAATATCTTTATTTTATTTTATTTTTTTCAAAACTAAATTTGTAAAAGTCAAAAGTACCTTTCATCTTTGAAGAAAAATGAGAAATTTTAATTTTTTTTGTGAAAAATTCATTTTTTTATAGTTTATTTTCTTATTTTTTGCGTAAAAAATTTGCATATTTCTAATGTTTTTGCTCAACTTTGTTTGTATTTTTTTAAAATATGCATAAAATATAAATATTTCCTACACGTTCAGATCGTTTAAAATAGAAATGTTGCCTCCAGCGACCACCATTGCATTCATCTTGATAATGCTCATCGAAAGCTTCCAGGCATGCATCTACAAATTTTTTAGTGCAAATCTTGCATTTATTAGATATATTGCATATGCAAATAGCATATTTTATTTTTAGAAAGTTACCTGGTTGCTAATTATACTTTTAATTTTATTTTAAATAACTTTTTTAGCAAATTTTTGCAAATTATGCAAGAAATAAACTTTGTTATTTATTTATAAAAATGATTAATTTGCATGCATAGATATGTCATATTTCACTAAAGTACTTGTGATATCCTATTTTATACGTAGAGTGACGTAATATTTCACCCTACATGGCGTGTGCTTTCACTACGTACTCTAAATGAACATCAAGAGAAGACAATTTTACGAAAGAACTGCTCTGGTATCTCATCAAATAGCACTTCTGAAGCATTTAATATGCAGAATTTGAATTCTAAAAATGTATTTAAATTATTTTAAAATTATATTTGCACTTAAAGAGCTATTTTTGCTTGTTGCTTTCAACGCTGCCATTAATTTTAAGTGCAGTATAAATGTGTCTGAATTGAAATGCTATATGTCTACTTCTGATGTTTCAGTTATTTTCATAAACTAAATTTAATGATGCTGAATGTATGAAAAGGTTATTCAAATAAATACAGACATTATTTGACCTTTAGAAAAAGGTCATGCTATTGATATCAACATCTTATATAATTGAGCTAAAGTATGATATTAATGATACATTTGCGGATTGAAAAATATCTATCCATAAGTCATTTATATTCTGAATTGTTATAATCAAAATTCAAAAATAAAGTTCGAATCATTTTCTGCATATTTCCTTGACTTTTTGAAAGTTAAGCTAAAACTGATATACTAATAAAAATTAGCATTTTTCATACAAATTAAGTGTACTGATTAAGAATATAAAGAGCAACTTCATAAATGTCGAATAACGTGAACTCTATTGACGTACTTGTATGGATATTCATGTGCGAAGTATTTGCAAAGTAATTTTTTTGTAAAAAGTATGGACATTAATTTTAAGGATAGAAAATTAATTTTTCCACCGATAAAAATACTAAAAAAAGTAATTTTTTCCATAATTAAAAGATATTTGCATAATTGTATTCGTATATGAATGCTTTGCTACAGAAATTTATCTATACGAAAGAAACAATCCATTCATTTTAATATACAAATGTTATTATTTAAAAAAGTATAAAATAATATATCAAAAGAAGTGAATTTTGTCAAATAAATATAAATCTTACTTGATTTATAGATAATTTCTTGCTCACACATCCACTGACATTCATGCAAATCACTAAAAATGTTGCGCGACTGAGCAGAACATCCATCGTACCAAAACATTCTGCACTCCATCGATGCTTGATCGAAGTAAAAACGTTGTTCCCAGTTGCCTTTAATCACTTTTAATCTCATTACTGTACGTTTTTACTTAATTTGCAAAGCTTAACTTTACTCAAAGTGACGCCAATACTTAGTTGTAGACATTAGTTTTGATCTAAATAGACGTCAAAATATCTACTTAATTTTTTAGCTAAAATAAGTAAAAAGTATAATAAAAATTTCATATAGCGAATTACAGTTTAAGCATAGAAATCTATACGTCAAAAAGATTACAACTAAAAACACTACAAAAATTGAAGGAATGTGAGAAGTTTAGATAGTGATGTTCTCAGCACTCACTAAACAAAACAGTATTTCCGAGTGATAAATTTTGAACTTTTATGTACAGTTCTGATATTACAGTGGAAGATTAAAAATGCTAATAGCTGAAAATATGACTGATTAAAATATTAAATGTCATTTGTTTTAGCTCAACTAATTTTTTAATCTTGAATCAACAATTTTTGACCTGAAATCTGAACTTAATGGTTTGCAAAGCTTTAAATGTTCATTTGATTTCAATTTATAATCTTTTTGAGGTACAGAATTCATGATAATTGAAGAAAAAGAATAAAAGTATTCACCATTGCGACACTGATTTAAATGGACAGTATCGAACAAATCCCAGCAAATCTCTGAATTAAGCATATAGACTTGATGGAATATGCAAATGATGATGGTGACAAAAAGACGAAAGTTAGCCAAAAACATTCCATACAAGGGATTCTTGAGAATTAGCTTACCAAGAATTACTTAGTTTGTACTAAAAGCCTTAGCTTCGGCTTGTAAGTCTAAGCTTGAAGAACCTTTTTATCTCGTAGTAAATCCATGAATAGCCAACTTTATTGACTTCTTCATTTTTTTTCATGTTTAGCTTTGTCAAGAAAAATTTTTACGGACCACAGCTTTCACTCTCTATGCATTACATTTTATTTCGTGTTTTTGTTTTTTATTTTTTGCATTTTTTAAATTTACACTTTCTGTTTTATTCTTTAAGAAAAATATTGATGATTACTACTGAAGAAACAATTTTTGAGCTAAATTATAGATATGCTTCATCTTCTACAACTTTTTGCGTATTCAAATTTGCTATTTACTTTTTTTATTCAAACCTTTTTTTATTAAAATTTTTAATTCATATTTGATTATTATAAATATCCCAAAATTTAAAAAAAAAATAAAAAATCTAGAATTAATAATAAATTGATGACACAAATATTTTCAATACATTTTAGTTATTAATATTTATTACTGGTAATGGAAGGAATTTAAAAAATAAGTCGCAAAAATTTTTAAATAACTAAAGTTAAGAGCAGTAAAATACCTGCTCTGCTGATGATATTTGTCATTTCGCAAAGTACTTCGCAAGTATCCAAATCCGAGAATATATTCATGGATGTACCAGCACAGCCATCGTACCAAAACGACTGACAGCGATTACTTTCATGATCAAAATAATAATGCTCACGCCAATTTTCATTACCACATTGTTCATAATATTCACGATTAAATGAATCCATACATGCCACTAAAAATAAAATAATCGTTATTATTAATAATTACTATAATGATTATTATTGCTCGCTCATACTTTGATTGTTAAAATCAATGTTGTCGATGTACAATCTTTTTTAATTGATATTAAAAATCAAATTTTTTGTTTTCATATTTTTTTATTATTAAAATCGATAATTTTTTAAGAGATATAAGCTTACAATTGATTATGCAAAGTTTTAAGCAAATAGCAAAAACTATTAGACATTTTTCTTATTTAGGAAATTTTATGGCATGTTTTTTGACTTCTTCACTACTTTTCAATTGTGAATTGATTATTGTAAGTATATAATCAGATTTGCAAATTAATAAGCAACATATCAACTAGTAATTAATCATTTAATTTGCAGGCAAATATCTGCATATGTGCGGATAATTACAATCTTAAAATAATTAATTACGATTAGATGATTACAAGGATTAGTAGTGCAATTGTATCCATTGCCAGCATAACCTTTTCGACACTGGCAAATATAACTTCCTTCAACATTATGGCATTTGGCCTTTGGATGGCATAATTTAGGTAATAATATGCATTCATCAACATCTAAACAAACATATTATCACTATTATTAACTATTACTGTTCTCATTTCTATATGATAATTATGATAGCAATGCTAGCAACACTTGCTAATAATATTTATTATTATTATTATTATTATTACTTTCGAAAAAATTTTCCAGAAAATAAATTTGCAAGCAGAATTGTAATTAGTGAATAAAGCAGCTTTTTGAAGTAAACTTTAGTGTGTGTTTTTCAGCGCAATGTGTTTTTGAAAAACTGAAATTTTTTTGACATTTGTTTTCGGACATAATAAAAGTTTGAAACACATTTATGCTAATTTTATCTGTGTAATTAGCATAATTATAAATTCTGAAGGACTTATCTGTGCAGTTGAAACCATCGCCTCTGAATCCAACTTTACACGCACACACGCCTTGTGAACAAGTTGCGTGTGGGCTACATTTCTTGCAATCCTTTGTTGCCCTGCCTGAGCAATATGACTTTTAGAGAAATTTACTTTGTAATCAAAAAATACTCAAAATATTATTGAAATTAATAGTTTAAAAATATATATATTTCGATTTTTTTGAATAAACTGCTAATATTTGTGCTTTTTTTCACTGCAATATGTACAGTTCAATTCACTATACTTAATTAGTTTGAATTGATAAAAAAATATTTACTTTTTATTTAAAGCTGTAAGAATATCAAAAATTTGCTTTTCAGTGACAATATCTGAATTTTATTTTTTCTAAAAACCCACAAAAAAAGAAATTATGATTTTAAAATTATAATAATTTTGAAAATTATAGTAATTTTAAAATCATAATTTTTATTATCGAATAACTTTTTACTCACAGATATTTTATGAATGAAATTTTAGTATATTTAAAAGTTAAAAATGTATTTTTATTTGACGAAATTTGATTTTAGTGCGCAAATTACTTTACATAAATCTTACAGATAGAATTTGCCACGACGCTACTAATATATAAAAACTTTTTACAGTATAATTAAATTAATATCTTTTTTGCCTCACCAATGCCGACGTATGTACATTTAGTGCCATCGCCACTGTATCCCACTTTACACTTGCATTTATATGAACCAATTGTGTTCAAACACCACGCATTTCTATCACATACTGTATCTACAGTACGACATTCGTCTATATCTAAAGACTCGTTACTTACTTCTTTACAGAACAATATAATGTAAGCGATCATTGCAGAACTCATGACATTTTGTTCCATCAGAATTTTACCTTTTTTAGATTTTCAAAATTTAGAATTATTTTACGGAATTGACAGAATTTCTAAATTTTAAAATCAATTTAGAGTAATTAAATTATAATTGAAAACACTTTATTCACTTTTTTAGTTAATTAAAAAATTTTAAATTTGTTTCCTCAAGTAAAATAACCTTTGTTCGAATTTTTCACCGAAAAGTAAGGTGAAAGATACACTGAAAAGTAAAAAATTTACTTTTCATCGTCATGATTTGCATAATTGACGCAAAGTTTCTAGCAAAAAAAGTAAGAATGACCTTAAAACTGACCCAAGCAATCACCAAATACATTCTTGGAATAACCTTCACGGCATTCACAAGAGTAATTGTATTTAGAATGCGCGACACAAATTGACGTACGAATATCGCATCGATCACAAGCTGGTTGATAATTTATTAAATTCAAAATAAGTCATAAAGTTTTTAGTTTATTTTGAATATCTGCCTTTCAAAAACAAATAAAAAATGCTTTCAAAGTTACACAAAAATTTCAAAAATATTTTGATTAAGAAGTCAAAAAAGTTAAGAAAGTCAAAAAAAATTCATATGATGTAACTAATTAAAATCTTATATAATCAACTATTTAAATCAGTAATTTAGATTCAATCAGTTGATAATATGCCTAAACGCTGTGATAATCACTATATTATTTATTTATCGATTAAATTAATTTCAATCACTTCAACTATTCATAATACCATTTTGCACAATTAAATTAAGTCACCAATTTTTGGTGCCAATCGTTCACCGCAAACTTTTCGACACTGATAAAGACTATAAAAACGATTATCATTGCCACCACAACCGTAGTAAAAAAATTTCCGGCAATCGCCCTCAGCAGCATCAAAATAATACCACCAATGACCCTTGCGATCATCGTGGCAAAATCCCGGATTTGCGTCCAGCAAACACAGCTCTGATTTTATTATTTTTAAATGTTGTTGTCACGCATCACTTACGCACAAATAAGTTGATAAATGAAAAATAAATAAATAAACTCAAATATATTTGAATGAAATTTATTATCATCAACTATTCATTTTTTAGTGACCTCATAAACACCGAAATTAGTATTAAATGAAAAACTTTTTTAAAAAAGATTAAAATTAATTCTAATAAACTATTTTGCTCAAATATTGCTGTGACATTGAAGCTAATAAATCCTTTTCCTGACCTTTTGCTACCAGTCAAGTAAATATCAAACAACACAAAATGAGTTTAATACTAAATCAAACAGAGGCTTGTAAAGTTTTATAAAACTATTTTGCATAATCACTGGAATAATTAGAAGTTCATATTGATTCTCTCAAACATCGTCACATTGTTGATTATCCGTTCTTAGCCATTACAATGAAGATAAATTTGCATATAATTTTGATTATATTCAAAGTATACAAGAAAAATGCAAATATTTTGTTATATGAACAAATATTTTCATGTTGCAAAATTATATTCAAAATATTTTTGCTGTTAATTCTGTGGTAGAACATATTTATGACACAGATTTTTCCTTGCAATGAAAAAAAAGCTATTAATTGTAGTTCTTGTTCAAATTATAACAAATTGAGATGAAAATACTGCAAATGAGTAATAATTTCAATTATGAATGGTTAAATGAACTTTGACTCCAATTAAAACAGTAGTTTGTATATGCTTTCCATGAATGTATTATGTTTGTAACATAAAATAATATAGTATTCCAAACTGGTATAATTTTTCAATAAAACAAACTTGCCTGGTATAGCAACAGGATTATGCATTTTGTAAATGCATTGCTTCATGCATTCTTGCTTGGTGTGGAATCTATTTCGATTCCCTAGACAACCACCATAATGAAACTCCTTGCATTCTTGCTTAGTCTGATCCCAATACCATTTGACCTGAAATGCTGACCTCATTAGTACGAGCAAAAACAATTTGATGTTATTTTTAACTTAAATTAGCAGAACTCATTTAGAGAGTTTAACAAGTATTCAGAAGCTATGAATGTTAGCATTACTTTGCACTGCTCAAAGCTGTTTGTTTTGAATACTAACAATTTATTTCTTGTTTCAGAAGTTCATTTAGAATAAGTCTGCAAATTAAATGTTCCAATTTTTTCCTGTCTGTTTTTCTTAGATATCTGCACGCTTAGAAAAAATGCTTTTGTATAAAGCATACAAATACATTTTGCAAAAATATTTGTCAAAGATATTTAAAAGTTTACGCTTGCAATTTGTTTATTTTTGAAACAAATTTTAAAAAGTGAAGAAAATTTGAATTGTCTTCAAAATTGCTTTAAATTAATGCTATAAAATGCTATTGTTGCTAAATTTATCGCTTTTAATTTACTTTTATTGAATGTATT